AAAACAGTCAAAACACTCCACAACATACACCTCAGAAACATCTTTGAGGACTCCTATCCAGAAGCAAATAAAATGACGGAAAAGATAAACAGCTGGGACTACATCAAACTAAAAAGCTTCTGTACTGCAAAAGGGACAATAATCAGGACGAGGAGATACTCCACATATTGGGAGAAAATATTTGCCCTCCACAAAATGGATAAGGGACTGATTTTGAAGATCTACAAAGAGCTCACACAACTCAACAACAATAAAGCCAACAATTCAGTTTAAAAATGGGCAGAAGAGCTAAAAAGACACTGCTCCAAAGAGGAACTGCAGATGGCCAACAGGCACGTGAAAATGCTCCCTATCCCTTACAAGCAGGAAAATGCAAATCAAAACCACAATGAGATACCACCTTACACCAGTGAGAAAGGTCAATATTATAAAAACTGGCAACAATTCACAGCAAAATGGATAGAGCTGGAAGGGATCATGCTCAGTGAAATAAGCCAGAAAGAAAAAGAAAAATACCAGATAGTTTCACTTATAGGAGGAATGTAGAGGATCCAAATAAGGGATCAGGAAAAAAAAGTTATTATAATAAAGTGAAAATCAAAATCAACAAGCAACTATAAACCAGAGACATTCTGCAGCGGGGGAGAAGGGAGTAGGATCAAAACGGGTGGGGAGAGCACAAGGGACTATGGTGATGGTACACTGGTGTACTGGTGCTGGGAATTTCACAGGGAGTATAACTGAGATGAGAAAGCATACATTGTAAAAAAAAAAATGAAGACTGGTGTAAAAATATATTAAAAAAACAAAATTATTAAAATTAAATAAAAAACTGGCAACAACAAATGCTGGCGAGGAAGTGGAGAAAAAGGAACCCTCTTACACTGCTGGTGGGAGTGCAAACTGGTCCAACCACTATGGAAAGCTCTGTGGAGGACCCTGAAATTACTCAAAATGAAGATACCACATGACCCAGCAATTCCACTCCTAGGGAAAGGGCCAAACACATTAACTCAAAAGGAAACTGGTACTCCTGTGTTTACTGCAGCACTATTTACAATAGCTAAGATATGGAAAAAACCCAAATGCCCAAAAAGAGATGACTGGATCAAGACGATGTGGTAGATATACACAATGGAATACTACTCAGCAATCAAAATAGATAAGCCCATATCATTTGCAGCAACATGGATGGAGCTGGAAGGGATTATGCTCAGTGAAATAAATCAGAAGGAAAAAGAAAAAGATGGCATGGTTTCACTTATAGGAGGAATATAGGGAAACTAAACAAAGAGACAGAGGAAAAAAGAGACAAAACTAGCAGGCAAATTATAGCTCTGAGACATACAGCAGAGGAGTGGGAACAAAGGGGTGCAAAGAGGGGAGGGAAGAGCACAAGATGTTGGAGTGAAAGGATGCCCTGAACAAACTCCACAAACACAGGTTTTATGGACTCCACCCCCACTCCAGACCAAAGAGATCTAAGACACCAAGAACTACAAATCCCTTAACGTCATCATCACCAAAGGAAGGATTGCTGGGAACTGAGGGTGGAGTTAAGCAACCAGGTTTGGTATATAACCTGACATGTGGGCCTTGGGGCGCTCTCTCTCTCTCTCTCTCTCTCTCTCTCTCTCTCTCTCTCTCTCTCTCTCTCTCTCTCTCTCTTGGTTTTTCGCCGTTTCTCAGCGTGCTATTGGGACTCCACTTCAGCAGAACTGGTAGGATGCATTCACAAATTTATCTCCCTCTCTTTCTCCCTGAGTTACTCATTTCTTCATTTCCCCTTCTTTTGTAAATAAACCCTTTATTAACCTTTCTGTGTGTGTCTGCAATTGAGTCTTATTATAAGTCCCTTTTAAGCGCATGGGTGAGGACTCACAGTCAGGCAACCCATTTCATATCAGGGTTGCCCTGTAACAAAGGGACTATGGTGACAGTTCACTGCTGCACTATTTATAATAGCTAAGATATGGATACAACCTAAATGCCCCCAAACCGATGACTGGATCAAGAAGATGTGGTGTATATACACAATGGAATACTACTCAGCGATCAAAAAAGATAAGTCCATGTCATTTGCAGCAACATGGATGGTGCTGGAAGGGATTATGCTCAGTGAGGTAAATCAGAAGGAAAAAGAAAAAAGATCGCATGGTTTCACTTATAGGGGGAATATAAGGAAACTGAACAAAGGGACAGCGGGGGAAAAAGAGACAAAACTAGCAGGCAAATTATAGCTCTGAGACATATGGCAGGGGAGGGGGAACAAGAGGGTGAAAACAGGGGAGGGAAGAGCACAAGGGACTGTGGTGGTTTGGGGAGATTTATGGGGATTACAGCTGAGGGGAGAAATCAAGTTTTGTACAAAAAATGAAAAATGATGTAAAAAATTTTAAAAAAGGACGAATTTCAAAAAAAAAAAAAAGCAAGGAAAGGAAAGGAAGAAAATGAAATTTAAAAAAATGTGAAGGTTCAAAGGAAAAAAAAAATCACTCAAAATTATAATACCCGAAACCAAATGATACTTAGAAGAAAACAGACAAAACAGTCCAAGCTTCAGTGACACCATTGGGCGCTGCTCCAATGGTTAGGGAAACAAAAGTAAATGGGGCTACACCAAACTAAAAAGCTTCTGCACAGTGAAAGAAACTGTCATAAATATGTAAGGACAGCCTACTCAGTGAAAGAAAATATTTGCACATCACACATCCATCAAGGGGCTATTATCCAAGATCTACAAAGAAACATACAGCCCAACATAAGGAAACCAAATCAATTTTAAAATGGGCAGAAGAGCTAAATGGAGCCTTCCCAAAGACATACAGATAGCCAACGGGCATGTGAAAAAATTCCCATCACTAGGTATCATAAGGGAAATGTAAATCAGAACCAAGATGAGATGCCATCTCACTCCTGTGAGATTTTCCCATATCAAAAAGACCAGAAACAACAAGTTATGGCAAGTGTGTGGAGTAAAGGGGACATTTGTACACTGCTGGTGGGAAATCAGATTAGTCCAGTCCCTCTGGAAAAGAGCATGGAATTTTCTAATTTTTAAAAATAGTTCTACCTTATGGGCCATACCTCTACTTACAGCGATCTCACTCCTAGGTGTCTACCCAAAGATGCAGAACACCAATTCGAAGGGATATATGCACTCCTGTGTCCATTGCAGCACTATTTACGATAGCCATGCATGGAAACAACCTAAGTGCTCAATGACAGATTAAGAAGACGTGGCACATACATACACAATAGAATACAGCTGAGCTATTAAAAAAAGATGTAATCTGGTCATTTGCCATAACATGGATGGAACTGGGAAGGGGTGTTTATGCTAAGTGAAATAAGTCATAAGTAGATAGATAAATACTGCACAATTTCACTCATGTGTGGAATACAGAGATTCAAAACAGGATTAGGAAAACTAAACCAAAACACACACTAGAAATCCGACTTTAGAAATGAAGCTATCAGATGTGGAGTTCGGGTGGAGGAGAACAGAGTGGGGAGGGTCCCCAACGGGCTGTAGTGATAGATCATGAGTGCTTTGGTGGTGGACATGGTGTTGTAATGTACATCTCAAGAAGTGTGAACCTATACCCCCAAATTATATGCCATGTTGTAAACCATTGTTAACACAATAAAAAGAATACAATAAAGAAATAAAATTTTAAAACAAAGCGATTCCTCTTTTAATGGACTCCTGACTCCATTTTAGGGTCCTTGACGTAGCAAACTCCATTTCAATCTTCCGTTTCACAAGTTTTAGGAGAAAAAGATTGGTTGTGTATTATATATTTGCATATTATAAATGATACCACATATATATGTATATGTATACCTACATTTATATAAATAACATACACACACACACACACACCCATATGTATATGGGCATGAATGCATTTTTCCCTAATAAAAATATCAAAGATGTATTGATTCACATTTGCCATATAAAAAACTCTTTTCTAATGCAGCCCTTGCTCTTTTTATTTTTGTCTCTGTACTTTGTCTGCCTTCTCTGGTTTCAAATGAATGTTTTATACGACCCCACTTTATCTTGTCTCTTAGTATATCCATCATGTTAAAAAGAAATTTCGCACTGGTTGTCCTAAAGTTGCAATATGGTTTTAGAACTAATCAAAGTCTACTTTGGAATAACACCATTCAGCTTCATGCACATTAAAAGTACCCAGTAACAGAGTATTCCCAATTCCTACCTCCTGCCCCTTACAGCATTGCTGTCCTTGATTCCACTTATTAATAAGCCACAGTAGCTCAATATTCTATGGCTATTATTATTTCAAACAACCTGTTAACTATTAGATCAACTAATTACAAAACAAAATGTTTTATCTTCATTTATTACTTCTCTAACATGCTTCCTTTCTTTTCAAAGGTCCATGTATCTGAGGGATTACATTTTTCTTCTTTCTGAAGAATTTCTGTGAATGCTTTATGCAAGACAAGTTTATTGGTGACAATGCCCTAATTTTTGTTTGTTTGATTTGGCCGTGAAGGTCTTTATTTCTCTTTTACATTGGAAGGACAATTTTGCAGTACACAGAATTCCACACGGGTGTTATTTATTTCCCTTCAATACTTTAAATGTTTCTTTCACCACACTTGCATGATTTCTTAAGAGAAGCCTGATGTAATTCTTATCCTCTATAAGCAAGGTGTTATTTTTCCATGGGCTTTTTACAGGATTTTCTCTTTTTCTTTGAGTTTCTGCAGTTTTAATGGGACATGTCTCCATCTGGGGTTTTTGTTTGCTTTGTTTTGTTTTGTTTTGTTTTGATTTGAATGTTTTCTGATGTTTGTCCTGTTCAGGGTTCGCTGAACTTCCTGGACCTGTCATTTATTCTGGCAAATTTGTATCCATTAGTCCTTTAAATATTTCTTCTGTTAATTTCTCTCTTTCTTCTCCTTGTGGCATTTCCATTTCACACATTCTATAGCTGCCCTACAGTTCTGTTGATGCTTTTCATTACCTTTCTATTTCTTTTTCAGTTTGGAAAGTCTCTGTTGACAGATCTTCAAGCTCAATGATTCTTCCTTTGGCCATGTTCAGTCTCCTAATGGGCCCAGCAAATGCATTCCTCACTTCTGTTCGAGTATCTTCATCTCTAGCATTTCCTTTTGATTTCCCCAGGATATACATCTCTGCTAACATTACCCATTTATTCTTGAATGGTGTCCACATTTTCCATTGGAAGCCTTCCTATATTAGTCATTGCTATTTTCATTTATTTATTTACTTTTGTTAAGTTGGATTTATTGAAGTGATGTAGATTTACATCTCACTATATGTCTCAGGGGTATAGGTTTACACCTCTGCAAATGCATGCTACTTCAACACACCCACCACCAAAGTCCCAGTAATCCTCCATTGCAACTGCCTCGACCCTTTGCTGCCACCCCAACACATCCCCCCAGACTGATAATTCCAAAAAATATTCCACATCAGTTTAGTTTCATGCTTGATTTGTCCCTTAAGACTGTGTTTTTTTTTCCCCTTTAAGCATTCCCTTGTATGTTTTTATTGAAAGCCAAACATCAAATGCCCGGTAAAAAGAACTGAGATAAATAGGCTTCTGGTGTGAGATTTTATATTTCTCTGGCTAAGAGTTAAGCTGTGTTTGCTGGTTGCTCTAATTGTAAGTATCAGAGGATAAAACTTCTTCGAGGGTTCTTGTTTTTGGTTCCTCTGTTGTCTTGGGTTTTCCTAGAGATTCCACCTTAAATAGAGTCTAAGCTTGCAGTTCTTAACAGCTGTAACCTCCTGTTAAACAGGAACTGAGTTGACGTGGTGGTAAAGTGTGTGTGGGTCAGCATTTAATAGCTCTACGAGCAGGTCTCAGGTTTTAGCACATCTATGCCCCTGGAATAGGGTGCTTCTTAGTTTTCCCCCCACCTTACATGGGGCAGGAGGGCTAGAAAGGGTTGGAGATGGGTATATCCCTTCCCCTGCACAGGAGACTAGAGCGTGGTGGTTTTTAATATTACCCTCCCCACAGGTTGATTACATTGTGGTAAAAGACAGGCCAGTTAGCTCTAGCTCACAAGACCTCTGTGGCTCAATGTTTCAAAGGTACAAAGGCTATGCCAGCATATTTGAACCTTATATTCTAGAGCCCCTAAGTACTATGGTTCAAAATGTGGCTTCCATAACATCATAAATTCAAGACCTAAAGTCCAAGCCTCTTTGTTCTAGAGTGCCAGTGTTCTGTCTCAAGGATGCTCTGGGAGAAGGACTACGAGATTTCTGTCTGGGTGGACCCAGGACTTTATGGTTTCTAAGAACTGCACGGCCAGTACACTGTATTTTCCAGACCTTGAAATAAAACAGTAGCAAATCTGTGGGGTCAGGAAGATTCATGGTCTCACATGCTTAAGGCCTTAATTTTTTTTCTTGGCTCAGGTTTTATGTGACCAGAATATTGTAGTTGAAGCTTCTGTGGTTCTGGACTCTTTTAAGAAACCTGGACTTTCGCAGTGGAGGGTCTCAGTAGTTCCAGGCCCCACAGTCTATTGTTTCGATGTTCCCAGGACTCCGTGGCTACAGATCTACATGGCTCTTGTAAGGTAGGCCCAGGCCTACAAGATCCCAGGGTGATAGGATAGTATGGTCACTGGTCCCAGGAAACCACAGCTCCAGTACTCTCTGCTTTCTGAGCCTTCTAATTACAGGAGGTCCTCAGGGTCTTTGCTACCTGCTTCACTGAACTTGGTACCAAACTCGGAGCCACTCGGGTCAGTAATGAACACCACACGTTTCTCTACAGGTGGGAGGCCTCTGGGGGCAAAGTGATGAATAAAACGGCTGTTGTAAATCTGGACCAAAAGAAGTGAAACCAAGAACTGTGCAAACCAGTCTTAACCAGGTCCCCCTTATTCTTCTGCACACCCTGTTCTTTTCCTTCCAGGGCCTTATCACTGTTTCTGGTTAAACAGGCATTTGTGTGATTGTTTGTTCAATGTCCATCTTCAACAGAACTGTGCTTCTGTTATTCAGACTGTCAGCCCCGGAACCTGCCCCAGAGCTGAGGAGTGAATGAGACTGTCTTCGGGCCCAAGGTTCCAAGATCAGGATCTCTGTAATATGTGAATTCCTGTCTGTGAGAGCTGGGCTTGCACAGTCTTGGCGGCCCCTAGGGACATTTTGCCTGGCCTCCAGGAACTCTGAGTATTGTTTTAACCTCCCTCCGTACAGTGAGTCTGGGGCCCAGCTCCATTGCTGCCAGGGGCTGAGAGTTTGCAGCGCCTCCCTCTCCTTAATCCTACTTTCTCTTGTTGCTGGGCAGAGCAGGGCTAGGGGGAGGGAGCAGAGACTGCTTGTTCAGAGGGGATTGGTTAAGCCAGGTGCAGATGCCTTGAGCTATCAGGGATGTGATTGGCTGCTGGCCCCCTTCCCCCACCCCATCTCTCCCTCTGCAGAGCCTGGGGCTGGGACAGCTGAGGGAAGGGGAGGGGGCATCTGGGAGGGCTCCCAGGACCAGTGTCAGCTCAGTCTAGGGAAGTTTGGACTTGCTGAGGGTCTGTGCTGCCCAGAAGCCTGAAGCAGGCTCTGCCCTGGGATCACAAGCTTATTCTCCTCTCTGCTGTTCAGGCACTCTGATCACAAGACTGGCCACTCTATCTCCTCACTGGAGGGGGGGGAAGAGGAAGAGGAGATGGGACATCTTGCCCTTCCCTTCATTCCAACCTTGAGTTCATTTACAAGTGCCTGTGCAGGCTTTGTCTCCACCCTCTCATGGCACTTTGCAGCAGTTCACCTGGCATGTGCAGCCGTTCACTTTGCATGTACAGTCACCCAGCCTGCACATGCCCAAGCCATAGGCAGTTCCTCCCCTACGTGAATAGGTGAGAACTTCTGGTAAAATCACATGCCTACCCAGCCTGCTCCCAGACACACCTCACATCCTGTAAATCAGATGTATGATCCAGATAACAGGTCATCAACCTCTCAAACTCCCCTCAGCTGCCATCAGCGTGGTGAGGGTGGCCACATCACATGAGTGAATTCCCTGTCACTGTCTACTCCTCTTTCATGGAGGTGGGTAGGCCAGAAGGTCTGTTCAATTATTCAATCTGACCAGACATCAGGTTTACCTGCAAACTTGTTAAAAGCATGTTATTGGTTCTTATTTTACTGATCAAGAGTTCAGAGGGTTTACCCCGTGCATCTGTATTTCAAACAATTAATTTAATAATTTTATATAGCAAGTGTGGCCTCTGAACACCAGAAGAGCAAGATCAACTAAGATTATCAGCCAGGAAATATCTTAGGTCTACAAGTCCTGCAACGGTATCCTTAATGTCAGCCTGCACTTCACTCTGCCCTCCTGATGCCCTTCTTATTCTGAGTAGGGATTCCAGGGAAATCATGACATGATCATTGAGGATCCTGCTACATTTCATCTTTTGCCAAAGTCTCTTTTTCACAGAACAAGATGATGCCATCAATAAGTTAGATTCCTTGGGCATGGAGCCCAAGGACATGGGTAAAAATGGCTCTAGAATAGAAAATGGGAAACAATTAAGAGACCCCCCTCAATGCTACTAGCCTCTAATATGCTCTTTATGGTGCTTCAGCTGGCCTAGTCACCTGTCCTAGTTACTGGTTTTCTACTTCCCTCACTGCTCTATCCCTTTCCGTGGTCCAGCTCCTAATGTATGATATGGTACGAAAAATCCTCCCATGTGTCTCCTCCCCTCCCAGGAAGGTCACCATACCCTGGGCTCCATCTCTCCCAGTTCTGCCCCATGGCTGACTCTCCTGGCATGAGTCTCTTCCTTCCAGATGAGCATCATGACCAGCACATTATGGGTGCTGGCTAAGTAAAGGGATACATCTGCGCAGCATTTGGTCCTTTGCCAAGGCTTATTAACATAGGTGCTGTTCTTGTTTGGAGTATGGCTTAGGGGTAAGACAACTGGGAAATGGATTAGAGGAGGGAGGGAGAACCCTCTTATTTAATACTTTCCACAGTTACAGCACCATCTGCTCCCATATGTGTGGTCTCATTTAATTTTCACAACAGTTGTGTGGGGTGATCATTACCATTACCAGCATATGCATCCAAGCAGGAGCAGAGAACAGCCCAGGTCACATAGCCCATATAGGACAGAGCCAAGAATGAAAACCAGGCCTTCCTGCCTGCTCCTTAGCATTCTCATTGTAGAGTGATTGGTGTCCTAGGGAAGGCACTGCACCAGAATACCCAGTCTTCGTGGCCCCTTTTCTGTTACCTTCACACTGGCAGACTCCCGTCAAGGTGGACCCTGACCTCCAACTCCCACCCCTCTCGATCCTCAGCAGAATCAGAGGCCTCTGAAGGCTTCACCCTTCACATGACATCACCTGCAGCCAGGGGTCTCTTGATTGACCCCCCTATGGCCCTGGCCACATAGCTCAGTGCCCAGCTTGGACACGTGACCATCTCCACACAGCACAAACATGGGCATGCACACACATACAGCTGAGCTCAGCTTTCAAACTCATGGGCATGGTGCATCATTGTAGGGTAAAGAAAATGTCAGGCTTTTCTGCCCTTCCACCATCAGGATAGATGATGGATCCTTGTCCTGAATGCATGCCTGATGGCGGGCACCTGGAATAGGGTGTGGGCATAGGTAGATGGGATTCAGCTGAGTTAAGACTGTGCTTTTAAGGGCGGCGTCACGGGGACACCAGCAGTCGCAGCAGCAGCAGTAGCAGTAGAAGCAGCAGCAGAAGCCGAGAAGCAGCAGAACGAACGCTAGAGAGCCCAGATAGAGTGAAGACTTGCTGGGGGCTGGGAGGCCTACCAGCCTCCCGGCCCCCCAGCCAGCACCCCTGCCTGCCATATGCTTGGTGAACCCCAAATAAAAAACCTGCAAAAACCCACTAAGGACTCAGACTCCTCCTTTACCCGGTCTGCATGGGATCAGAAAACCTGCACTGTGCCCAGTTCCTGCCCTTACAACCATGCAGTTTACAAAGCACTTTGCCAGTGATTGTCACCCTCATCAGTCACAGTAGATGTCACTGTATGCCAGGGAGCATTCTGAGTGCTTCCAGCCCACTATCGAACATGAGGCTTAGAGACCAGGCTGCATGAGCTAATCCTGTTCACATCTCACAGATCAAAGATAGGAGGCCAGAGAGGGGCAGGGGTGTGTCCCAGGCTACATGGAGACCACATGAAGGAGCTGGGACAGTTTAACCCCCAACTCCTACATCCCAGTGAAGTGTTCCTTCCACCAGAGCACACTGCCTGCTGACTCAAAATCCATAATTAGAATGTGTGTACACAATGTCCATGTTTGAGATAAAAATGTATGCCTGTGTCTCTGTATTTGTGCAGATTCCTCACACACGAGCTGTGATTAATAACATGCTCTTACAGGGAAGAATGAATCGCCTGCTCATCTGAGCTTCCACAGCCCCTAGTGGTTTATCTGGGTGCTGTCATTGTTTCCTGACTGATCAGCCCAGTACTGTGGATTATAAACAGTATAGTCACTAATACATATTTGTTGAATGAACAAGTAAACATCTTAGTTGAGTGTCTTTGAGAGATTGCAGGACTCCTATTGAAATATTAAAGTCCAGGCATCTACAATTTTGAAGCAAAACTCACTCTTCCTCAAGTAACTATTCTCCTTTTAAGAAACAGCTGCTGGCACCTGCTGATTAACAAAATTAAATTACTAGCCCTGGGAGATTTTGAATGCCTAAACATTTTTCTCCTAGTGACCACACAAACTAATCAGCCCAACTTTATGATCCATCAAGTCATAAAGTTGGGAATGAAATAACAATACCCTATCACTGAAGGGTAGCGGTATCAACAAAATCAGTGTGAAGCAGGTCCTGAAAGCATAAGTGAGTTACAGGAGATTCACACTCCCATTGCACCTACT